TGATCAAAGCTGAATTTTCAGCATATTTACTCCAGTCTTCAGTGTCACATGATCCTTCAGAAATCATTCTAATATGCCTAATTCTCAAGAAACATCAATGTTGAAAACAGTTGTGCTGCCCAATATTTTTGTGGAAACTGTGATACATTTTATTTTTTTTCAGGATTCACAGATGAATAGAAAGTTCAAAAGAAAAGCATTTATAGAAAGCTTTATAGAAATGTATAGAAATCTTTTTTAACATTATAAATGTCTTTATACATGTCTCAGCAAATATTGAGAATATTGAGAATATTGTGAAGAGAGAGCTGATAATGCAGGAGAGGAGGATGGAATCAAACTTGAGTTCAGACAGAGTAATTGAACCAACTGTGAAAACAGCCTAAAGCACCTAATATGTTATTTTAATGTGAAGCTTGTGTCAAAATGAGCTGCCTCAGAAATGCAATTCCTCGCATGTTAATTAAATGCCACTTTAATTTGAATGCCACTTGACTGGATTATTTCACATGTATGGACATGTGTGCTTATGTATCCTCATTAAATCCTAAAGAGGTCACACTCGTGTGGAGCTTCATTTCCCCTGTTCTCAGTCAAGTGGCCTAATTGTAGTTTTAATTGACCTCGGTCTAGAGGGGGATTCATGGAGATGCTGACAGTAATGACAGCGACCTCAAACACTCTCAAGAGTCAACCAAACTCTATCAGGTCCTGATGATGAATGGGACAATGACCCGGGGTGCACATTTACATCACACATCCCAATACAGATGTCTATTTTACTCTATTAGGCCTCTGTAATAATTAAAAGTTCATAGTTTGATCTGAATTTTTTTGTCAAATATTAGACAAGTGCTTCCCATCCTGAAAAAGTCCTTAAGCTAAGGTGCTTTGCTGGTCTTAGCTGGTGTTTACCTTCCCGAATGCCCAAAACCCCTCTTAACCCCTCAAAATAGACTAGCCTGCCCAGCCTGACTAGGTTGAACCACTTTAGGCTTGTTTTTCAAGCAGGGTCTTCATGTCTTTCAGCAAAAGTAGGTGACTAATTCTCTTTGCAAGTTCAGTTTTGGATGCACTGCACCGTTTCTGCAGCATATCTTCTAAACATGTTGTTTTTAGGCTTTGACGGAGGATTTCTGTTTTTGTTTTCACCGCTTGACGTCTTTTTGCCAAGGTGTCTTGATAAAGACTTTGTTGCCGTTGACAGACGAGACAGCTTAGCGTTCTGAGTGAAGATTCACATCTTTTCTGGTCTAGTTGTATACCTTACAGTTATTACAGTTAAGTGTGCTGTACAGTTTCAGCCAGGTTACTTGTTTATACACTATATATGAAGAAAAAAAATTCTAAGTTAAAACAAAGATTAATGGAGTTCATTTTACACGAAAATACTATTTCAGTTTTTCTACTTCCGATTTGCATGCTTAGTGTTACTTGCTGTTTTTGTCATTATTTGTGAAATTTACCAGCAATTTCTGAGTGAATTGTCTTTACACCAATTTTGCACCTAAATGCATCTAAACTTGCCCATATTTTATCACTTTTTTACACTTTAATTTGCAGCCAAATGTCAGCGTGTCACACATTCAGTCAATTGTGTCTTCAAATTAAACATGCAATTTTGAAATACAAAAGCTGAAATAGCATTATTAACATGAACATAATTTTTAAAACTACCATCTCAGTTTTTCTACTTCAAAATTGCATGTTTAATCCAATTAGTAACTTGCCATTACTTGTGAAATTTACTACCAATTTCTGAGTGAAAATTGTTTCTACGCCATTTTTTTCAAGCGCACCTGAACTCATAAACGTGATATTTTATCTTCGTAAATAGTTTAACACTTTAACCTGCAGCCAACAGGTCTTCTGGTCAAAGTGTGTCTTTGCCATATTCACATGGTTTTTGCAGAAGAAGTTGCCTTGTTCTGTTCAGGGTTATAAATTATACATCAAGAGACGATCAAAGACAATGAATAGGCAACTGGCTGCTTGACTCGGCCCTTCCCTCCCTCTTAACCTCTTAAGCGCTGCGTTTCCTGAATAAACAACCGCAGTGCTCTGAGTCGAGTCTCTGTAAGGCTCACTGACCTGCTTTAAACCTGAATTCTCATAGACGGCGATTCAGGAGTAAAGCTGCTCCGCTTGACATATGTCTGAGGACACCGATAGCCATCAGCTGATGTTAGACAGCGCTGCCAGGATCCTCGCCATCCTATTAGCTCACATCAGTGTGCCGGGAAAGATAGGAGACTTACAACAGATGGAGTCAGCAGGGGAAAAACACACAAGGTATAATTCAAATGGAAGTTTTGGAATCAGACAGAGATTAGGTGCCGGTTCAGGGGGTTTATTCTGTACACGAGTCCAGACATCTCTTTGTCTTATCGCTGTAATACGCCGCAGCTTTCTGCCGTTATCAGAAAAACAGTGGCAGTCTACAAAATAGTTCTTATGTTTGTCCTGACCTTAATCTCACCGATGAAGGTACGAGTCGCTTCGTTAAACTTGCAGCATCGTGTGTTCAGAGTCACGCGAGTGGATAAGATACAAAAACACTTTTCTACCAATGTGGGTTTTTTTTTTTTGCAAGGCAAGCAGTTCCTGCTCAACAAAAAATAAAAAGAGTGGATGAGAAAAGAATCAACAGTACACAAATAAAACAAATCAATTACTGTGAAACATGAGATGAAATGGCGCATAAAGCTCTCATTTTTCCTGAAGTAACAAGAATCATTTCAAAGGCAGAAACACTCCAGTTTTTGAGCGATTTTGTCATTTGTCAACTAAAAAGTAATTTAAACATTTATGAGACAAATGACAGAATTGATCGGTAAAGATGGTTGTTCACAAGCAGTTTAGTTCCCATTTGATCCTGATTGCTTTTGCACCAAATGGACCCTTTTCACAGACAACGATGACACTTTTCTACTAGAAGATTACCAAACTATGACAACTTATGCTCCTGAAAACCCAGAAATGTGAATCTTTTTTATAAAGATTGGTTTTATTATTTTTATTTATTTTATTTTTGAAAATAACCAATAAATCATTTGTGGCTCAGTGAGGGAGTCAGTATCTCAGTAACGAACAATGAAGTACAGACAGAAAAGCATTAGCACTGGCTGATCAACCTGTTAATGCTGAATATCACACAACTGGTTGATAAATTCATTTGAATGGGCAACATGGGGAAAACGGATGGGCTATATATCCCAATCGGACACCGCCTTTAGTCACTTTAAGCCACTTATAAATCAAGATAAACATTAAATGATAGGGTTGGGTATCGTTAAAAATTTTTCGTTATCAATACCGATACCGTGACTTCGATACCGGTTCCTGAACAATACTTTTTTCGATACTAATTTTATGAAATAAATTTGAACAAGATTACATTATCTAAAAAAATATTTTTTTTTAAGTTTTATTTTTCAGCTTGTTGATGTTTATACAGATTCAAAGACTCATCTCCTGAGCCACTGCACAAAGGAGCAAAATGTAACCAACACAATAAATCAGTGCAAATAGTTTTAATAAAGCTCAAATAGTCTACAGTTTATGAGTGATGAGTGATGAGATTAACCCCTTAGGTATCGAAATTTGGTAGCGAACGATGAGACGTTTTTCGATACTCGATGGTATCGAGGCAATTTGGTCGGTGCCTAAAAAGTATCGAACTCGATACCCAGCCCTATTAAATTATCTGTTAGTCAGTTCTTAGCGAGCACTCTCTTAAAGTGGTTTAACTGGACTAGAAACCCTTGAACACAGAGAAAAGACTTTGTCTCATTTCAGAAGTCAGCACACACACAGATGTAATAAGCTGCTCTTCATACTTTCACTTGCTTCTCAAAAAGTCAGTGAAAGTTCAACCTTCCTTCTCGGGCACCAGGGTGTCATTTACTGCAGATTGCCAGGTGTCGTCATGCATCTTTATTAAAGAAAGACGATAACCAAGTCTCTGCGCTCCCATGTCATGGCAGGTATGTCAAATTCCCTGACACGGTTTTAAGAGCCTGGCCTATTTTCTGCTGCTCCAGCTCCGCAGTACATTTCATTTTCTCCACATTACTTCACAGAACTGAGAGACCCAAATAGAATAGCGAGCTTTCATCCCCAGCTCCGCTTTTCAATTATCCTCCCTCGAGCCAGCCGAAAGAGTTGCGGAGCTCATGTAATAACCAGACTGAAGGAAGGTAAAGGCAGAGGAGGAGAGGAGGGAACAATGGACACAAAATACTGAGCACGGCAGGCAATGTGGGCTCCTCCAGCAAGATATTGTACGTGAGAGACCTCTCTATCTTTAACACACACACTCCAGACGTGATGCTGTCCAGGGTTTCAGCACCAGTGTAATCAAGCTCACGGCCCTCCAGAGCTACTCATACACATACATGAATGCTACACATACATGAACTTTCAAAATGGGCCAGACGGTGCCTGAACGATGAGTTGAGCAGTCTGTCTTGAAGTAATATTTCAGGTGCAGTCAAGTTAAGCTCAATCGACAGCACTCGTTAGGAAAAATTAGCAGTTTTGGCATTTAGATTTAGATGTAATTTAAATAAATTCAAATGATACTTTAAATATGAAACTAACACCGCCAGTAGGTGGTGGCAAGTACATGTCTTAGTAAGTGAGTCAATGAATCATTTACTCAACAGATTCATTCAAAACAGCTGACTTATTCAAAGTCTCAATGAAGGGCTTATTGAATCAATTGACAGCAATTAAGATATCATCATAGATGATGCATATTGCACATCCCAGACATTAATGTGATGTAACATTACTAACCTCTTCTTTTAAAAGTTATATCGAGTTTACATGACAAAATAACAGTGTAAACTCTTTAATGCTGCAAAGACAATGATTTACACAACTTTACAGCTCAAGTAATATGAAAGTGTTAACAGTATAAATCATGCAAGTTCTTTGATATATTTCTAATCTTAGCATCATATTTCCACCTTTAGACCCTCTAAAAAATGGCCTCATTCACTTCAACTGTAAGTGCCTGCCAGTCACATCGATGCTCTGATTTTTTAAAAGAACGAGTCAAAATGAATTTTTGTGGTAATCAACATTAAGCCATTTTAAGTTCACCTAACCCTGATGTGTTCCTGCACTGAAAAACAGCAGATAAACAGAGTGCAAACAGCACATCCATCTGTATTCAGGGTCTTTTAAGTGTGCTTTTAAACTGGACCTGGATGAGTGGAAGACTGCCGATGCAAATATAGGACAACACTGTCTCTGGGGAGAGGGAAGGGTTGGGCTAGAAACACAGAACAAAAGAAAGCACAAAACTCCAGCGGGCACACAGAGTATGAATTTAGTTATGAATAAATGACAGCAGACTGGACTGAAAAAAATGGATCGGATGGGCTGGTCAGTGAACAGGAGTTCTGGAACAAATCCGACATGACTTCACAGAGGAGTGCCCACATCCCACTGAGTCCCAATTACTCACTACGAAACTGCAATCTTGCATTGGGTGTCTCAGAAATGGATTGCGGGCCTCCACACAACAGCCTCCTGTGCCTATGGAGATAATGTCAGATTTAAGAGAAGGCAGGAGCTCAACAGAAATAGCAATACCAGGCTGCATACTCATAAAAAGCTTGGTTGTGTCATATCCAACAAGTAAGGAGGCTAAATAATGTTTGGCCACCAGATACAGGGTGACTCACCGTATCTGACAGCACATGATGCATTCCAATTAAGTCTATGTACACAAGGTGAAAATTGTCAATACTTTTATCTAGCTTTATTCTAATTACCTTCTATTTTGTAAAATCAACAGTTATGAGTAAAATCATCAATAATTTGATCATTTGAAACCATATGTTCCCTCCAAAAGTATTAGCAGGTCATTTGTCCTATATGGTTCACTAATCATTCATTATTTATTCATCCCACTATGATCAATACAGAAAGAGTAAATGCTCTTGCTCTCCTTTACTGGAGAATACCAACAAAACCACCACATGTCTGTATAGCCGAAAAGGTGGCTTCATAAAGTAATCAGATTTGCCACTAGGGGGCGAATTGCCACAGTCCTATCTGGATGTTACTGAAATTATATATGGGTGGCTTAAGTGTGGTTAAGGATCTATATATCTATGCAAATGCCTCTTTCAGCATTCAACAGCCATGTATTTAAACTTGATGAACGGGCCTAGGATAGAGCCCTGAGGTACACCATAGGAAGGAAGAGGATAGTCTTATTTTCACTGCTTGTGTACTGTTCTCTGATAGGTTCAGGTTAACTGGGTTAAAGTTTGCCAGCAACACTAAAAACCTTGACCTGTTAATAAACAGCAACCCAAGACAAAGAGACAAAATGACAAGACGTAATTTTGTACATGACACACCCAATGAGGTGGAAATAAGAGGCCATTACAATGCCAGAGGGAACGGTTTTCATCCTCTAAGAATATCGCTGTTGATTGCCAACAGCACTCTGCATAATTAATCCCTTTCTAATAAATGAAAATGTCCCTTACACAGTCTCTCCTGGTCTATGATGGGACTAACTGTGATTTCTGAATATGCAAAGTAAGTTTGTGGCCAGCCAAGAGAGTGATTAGTTCATAGGAAATGCTCTGATGCCCTCTATACAAGCACATTTTCAGATCACAATAATTGCTGACACTTTAATCAATGTATACAGTATTTTTTATAATTCTGAATTACAAAAAAAAAAACAGCTGGATGAAAAGACAACCAACCTTAAATGCTATAAAACAATACACAATAAAAATGTATCAAGTAAACGTTCAAAATTATGATATTAAATGAGAAAATGTTCAACTCATTTAATTTTTCAACTGATTTAAACCAATGTTTTAAAAATGTAACCAATTGATGGCAAAGAAGCTAATGTGTATTCAAAAAAATCTAACCAATTAAGAAAGAGTATCTAGAATGATTCACTGTATTTTGAAGTGCCCATGACAACATTAAAGCAACAACCCATATTATTACATATACATATCTAGACATACATTCACATACTTAAGCTCTTACTGCAGTAACTACATGCCATTAGCTCTGGTGACTGTAACTCTTCTTCAGGAAAATACATAAAATAAAATACATAAAATCCTACCGTCCTAGCCCAGTATCAACAAAATCAAACATCAGCAAGGTGCTTATGTCCTTCTCTCTAAGTTGGCTTTGTTATTTTAATTATTTACAATGTCTCTTGGGAGCAGTGCTGACTCAGGATGAGGGATCATTGTAATTCTAATGGCTCTTCCTTAAGCAAAATGCCAACACAGGGGAACGGCCCACCTGGGACAGTTCATGACAGGTCTTTAGTGCTTATATACAGCCATTCAGTGGTTAGAGCTCCAATACGGATAGTCCCTAGAGATTTCTATAAAGCCCCTCTATAGGCACCAGTGCTATGACAGCAATTATACAGATTCCATCTCACGTCAGTTACAAAATGTAAAGATAGCCTAGTGAGCAATATAAAATAAAATAAAAAATAATAAAATAAAATAATTTAATTGGTGTATTTATAGTACATGAACCCTTTTCAGTTAACCATTAATTAGTATTATTACATTTTTATTATTATTAAATGAAACCATAAATTCAACATTGTTACTGACACTTGTCTATATCTAAAACTACTCCCTGCAATCACTAATGTAAAAGTCTTCGATCGTCCCACTCATTGTGACAATCATTTCTGACATGGAAAACATTTCTGAACTGAGCACTTAGAGTTTTATAATGCATAAAGAGGAAACAATTGACAATGTCATCATAAGGCTTAAACAACATCAAGATATCAGAGGAAATGCATGTTAACATACATTTCCATAAACACACACAAATACAAAATAAGGTTTGTCATTGTGTTGTCTTTGTTTTGTCATTGGGTGTGTGTACAGATTAATTTGAAGCATGACAGTGATCAAGAGGACGGCTCTTGAGGGAAGGGGCAATTACTTCATCCCGCCGCTCCCCTGCCTTTATGAGGCAAACCTGGCTCAGAGTCAGGCTCTTCCAGGACGGATGCAGTAATAGCATTTCCAAAAGCAAATAAAAGAGGAGGCTCATCCATCTACCCATTCCCTCTCTCTCTCTCCTTCTCTCTCTCATGTAATCGCATTAGACGAGGGGCTTTTACCACCACCTGCTCAATACAATAAAGCAGACGTCAATGCTCTCTGCACTCCATCTCCCTTTCAGTCACTCTGCTCAAGTTCACATTGAACAGGCATGCAATGAGCACGCACACACACACACAAACACACACACACACAGAGTACTGTAGCAGAGCCAGACTACAACTAACCACTATACAACCAAACAAACTCAACTTTAACGCTATTCAAGAACAAGTGGCGTACCGCAAATCTCAAGCTGCTCTCCTGCGAACCGTGATACAGATCCTGCACACACGTTATGACACATGCTGCTCTGATGAGGAGGAAAATACTTTTGGAGAGACAAATACAATATAATTGGCTCATAAGACCATAGCGGGACTTAAATTACGGTTTCCTAAAAACAGAACACAGAGGACACACCTGTTAAACATCCATCTGAGTAAGTCAGTTTCACAGTAGTTTTGAATGCATTTGACTGAGAGCTGGTGAAATATAGAATATTTTGCTGGTGATATAAAAGAAGCAACACTGTGAATAGTGGAATGATGTCCAAGGTTTAAGGTTTCTATTATGTTAAACTGGTAAACACAAATGAAAATGATAAAACTAAAAATACTGTTTTATTTCTTAAAATGAATAAATATCCAAAAAAAAAAAAAATATATATATATATATATATCAAATAGCATTGGATGTTTGGAATAATCAAATATTTTTCATTTTAATTGATTTATAGTTTTTGCAGAAACTGTGATACACCACTGTTCAAAAGTTTTCAGAATCCTGAAAAATAAAATGTATCACGGTTTCCACAAAAAAAAATATTGGGCAGCACAACTGTTTTCAACATTGATAATAATCAGATATGTTTCTCGAGCAGCAAATCAGCATATTAGAATGATTTCTGAAGATCATGTGACACTGAAGACTGGAGTAATGATGCTGGAAATACAGCTGCGCATCACATGAATAAATTACTGTTTTCTCTGTATTCACATAGAAAACAGTTATTTGAAATGTAATAATATTTCACTGTTTTTACTGTATTTTTGATCAAATAAATAAAGCCTTTGTGAGTAGAAGAGACTTTTCAAAAAATTTAATAAATCGTAATTATTCCAAATTTGGAGCGGCAGTGTATTTTCTATGATGCCCAGCTCTAAGCCAAAGGCTGGTCAGACTCGGGCCAAGCGTGTGGATGGAGGTGACTGATCAGAGACGGGTGTTCACACAAGGCCTCAGTCTGTTCAGAGCGGAGCAGCTGTTCTCGGAACAGTTCTCTCCCACTCTGCCAGAGAGAGGCCATTGTAGGCCGCAACATGAAACATCACCCTTCGCGTTCAGAGACGCACCAGAATCTTGTACTTCAGCCAAAAGTGCTTGTCTCATAGAGATCCATTGAAAATATATACGGGAACAACTTGGTGACCATATGCTAGTGCCATGCACATGCACGCCCGAGAGCCGAGCACCCACAATGCAACACGGCGGGAAATTGCAATCCTATAATGACCCCATCTTGGTGACCCGTGGGAAGTCCCCTGGGAAGTGTTGATGGAGTTCCTGTTCCTGCCAATGAACATGACGTCTGACGACACGATCAAACTCAACATGAGCGTATTTCAATGCACTTTGGTCACGCAGGAGCCTCTGAAACAGGAACACTGTAAAAATTATTTCCTGACGATGTAAATAAAAATATTATTGGAGAATGTTAATAAAAAATACTATTTCAGTACTTCTACTTCAAAATTTCACATTTGATTCAATGCGTCACTTGCCCTTTCTTTGTAACGGTGTGAAACTTACTAGCAATGTTTAAGTGAATATTGTTTCAAAGTAAATCCTACAAACAAACCCCAAAAAATAAAAATCTGTGTAAATGCTCACATATATTTTTCAAACTGTATTACAAAAATCTGCTCAAAAAGTTTGAAAATGGCCTTAAAAACTTAAATTTTAATTATATGTTATGCAACTGATGTAATATGATGCAACATTTGTTTTCGGATTCATATTGTTACATTTTTAGATGGAAGTCATTTAAAAAAGTAATACATAAGTGCATTTATAGATTAAAAAAACACGTGGAATCAAGTGATACTGGTTAAATAATTCATATTCCAAATGTAATTATTTAGTTTCAGTAGATTCAGCTTTGCTTTAAATTTGTAATGAATGTTGTTTATAATGAATGCTGCTGTTCTTTCTGATTGTTTCATGAATACAGTTCAATTGAAATGTTTCGTTGTGGAGCGACAGGAACTGAAACCCATGTTTATAGTGTTTATAATGTTGTCTATAAAGCACAAGCACATTTTCAGCTAAACATTACACAAAAAGAAGAAGCAGGAACCTTCAGTGCAGATTGAACCACACGCATCTCATCTAAAGTAATTCTCTTAAATCTCA